GTTACATTAGATCTAGAAATTTAGAAGAAACACAAATTAATTGGCACCTGAGATGTAGGCCAAGATGAAGCCTGCAGATATTCTCACTGAATAAATTAATCGACACTGTGCTTATGTTTTTAAAGTTAGTTTTGTGTGTGTGGGGTACATGTGTCCCATGGAGCACGTGTGAGGTCAGAGGATAACTTTTGAAGGCAGTTGTCTTCTTCCACCATGTGGGTTCTTGGGATTGAATTCAGGTCATCAGGTTTGGGGGCTAGCTCCTTTACCCACTCACTGGGCCAGCTCACTGGTTGGACACTATGTAAAAGTAAGATAAAAATTATATTTTACTTTTTGTTTCTATAATGGGCACAAATAATGCAATAATTATTTTTATAATAAAAATACAATGTTGAGTAAAAAACTTGGCATGGAAACACACTGAGTCATCTGATGCTAAAAAGCATCTCTCCAAAAATGCCATCTGAGTCATCCTTGATTTTCAAATTCAGAGCCAGCAGTTGTCAGGGGGACACACCATCTGCTGGGAGAGAATAGACGAACTGTGCGTGCAGGCTTTGTAAAACGGAGGTGACCTGGATCCTTTGACCTGGGTGGGGTGGAGGGAGACACCATTGACCAAATGTCTCAGGCACCCTGTAGAATAAACTCACACAAATCTGAAACAAGCTCTCCTGCCTGACCAGCTTTGCCTCTGAAGCAGGATACTCCTGACCAGATGCCTGCAGTCAACAGCATCAGGCAGGCTCCACGAGCGAGCTTTACGCCACAGTGGAGTTTTGATAGAGAGTTATTCAGACTTCAAAGATGGAAGCCCATAGTGACAGCGGCTGGAATCTGACTGTCGTCTGAGTATGTGCACATAGCTCTGTTCTCCTTACCCGTTCTTCAGAGGTAACACAGCTTGATCAGTTGCTGCTATGGATCGGAAGTCAATGCAGGCCCAGAGTGTTAGCTAACACTCGTGTTAGGGACCTTTGGAGGGAGAATTCAAGGTTGGTCAGTCAAGGTGGGGCCTGGGGCTCTCGTAAAGAGAGGTTTTCGGGCAGTCGGAAGAGCATGAGCGGAGACCAGGAGGAAAGCGGTTGATAACAGGCACTTCAGTAGCTCTCTATGAACTGAGTTTATGGCAGTCGGTCTTCTGGGTTCCAGTTACCCCTTTATAGAGTGACGACTGGTTTCCTCAAGAACAAACTGGGAACACCACACATCCCTCAGGACAGTGCCACTGATGTGTACGGTCCAGCCGTCCCTCCAGACAGCACTCCTCACCAACTCTGCATGGTTAATCAAGCCCAGCAACAGCTCTCAAAAGCTGTGGCTGGACAGTTTATCCCTAGGTGTTCACCCAAAGAAGGTTCAATGTTACAGTGTGTGATAATTCTTGGTTGTCAGTTCGACTACATCCGGAATTAACTAAAACTCACATGGCTGGGTGTACCTGTGAGAGATTTTCCCCCTAATTAAATCATGTGACGTGGGAAGACCCACCTCTAATCTAGATCTCTGAGGAGGGGAGATCTACCTTTAATCTGAGTCACACATTCTGCTGGCAGTTTGTAAGGGACATGGAAGGAGGAGACTTGCTCTCTCTTCCTCTGCTTGCTATCGCCCTCAATAGCAAGTCTATTCCTTCATTAGCACCCACTTCTTCAGGGTTCCAGCGTACACTGAAAACTAGTTGAGCCATCCAGCCTTGCAGATGGAACAACTACTGGATTCTTCTGTCTGTAGACAGCTATTGTTGGACTGGCTGGATCACAGCCTATAAGCCATTCTAAAAGCTCCCCTTTACACACGTGTGTGTGTGTGTGTGTGTGTGTGTGTGTGTGTCTGTTCTTCTAGAGAATACCTACTAATACATGCTGAGATAAGATTACCTTTAAAATGCAAACTATTCATAACTCCATGTTGTCTGAAATGACACAGGGGGTTGGGCAAAAGGGTAGTTGGTTCCCCCATATTTTGCATGTGTGTTTACTACTTATACTCAATTATTTCCATTCCTGATCTGAATTCCTTAGCCCACTCCCTGGATACTACCTGTACATACACACACACACACACACACACACACACACACACACACACACACACACAGCTAGAAAGAGCAACTAGCAACTTACCCTTAGAAAGAAACCTCTAGAAGTATGAAGAATGCACATTCAAACAACACACACCACCTCCTGCCACTTACATGAATTCATGAAGTTTTGACGGTAGCATGTGCACACACCTGGTAATTACTGTGGTTTTGTTTTGTTTTTTCCCAGTGGTCCCCATTGACTTGTTCACATATTAATAATTATTAATTAATCAGCTGTGGATGCTTGATGGGAACTCTCAACAAGTCATGACGATAACCCGACAAGGGATGCTCTGCTTTTGCCCCCAGAGTTCACATCCACGAGAGTGGTGGAGCCAGGGCCCCTGCTCCGATACTCAGAGCTCACACAAGCGTAAGCCTTTCTCTGCAGCCTCTGCTCTGTGGGCACTCTGGGTGGGCAGTGGATCTCACCTGTGCGTTTTCTCAGAGTATCTCTCAGGTTACTGGCTCCAGTGGGATCCCTAGCATGCTGCTGGCCTGGAAGATACACAGGATTATCCAGAGACGGTCTCTTCAGGTTGCTTCTGAGGGACACACCGAGACAAGCCAGGCACAACCACGATAGTGTTCCTGAGAAGATGCAGCAGCGTCCATGCTCTCAGTTCTGACACCATCCTCACTGTCAACTTGATTGGATCTGGAATCACGTAGGAGGCGTCCTGTAGGGCGTGTCTGTAAAGGTGTTTCCAGAGATGCAAAACTAAGGGAAAAGACCCAACCTGAATGTGGGTAACGCCATCCCATGAATTGGGGCCCCAGACAAGACATAAAGGAGGAGCCAGCTGAACATCAACAGTCCCTGCCTTCTACCCTATGTGCCCAGATGGGAGGGGACCTAGCTTAGTGTTGGCTAATTCTTATTGTTGGGACAAAATACCTGCCAAAAGCAACTTAAAGAAGGAGGAAGGGGACGACTGTCTGGCTCTCAGTTTGACTTTGCATCCATCATGGTGGAAAAGGCTCGGACATGAGGAACCTGAGGCAGTTGGTCCCATTGTGTCTGCAGTCACGGGACAGAGAGATGAATGCTGGTGTTTGGCTCACTTCCTCCAGGCTTAGAACATTCTGCTCACAGGTATGTCTTCTCACATTAAGTAACCTGATCCAACCCTCCCCCTAGACAGGAGCAAGCCTAGGTGATTCTAAGTCCCGCATATTAGACAGTCAACATAGGCCTTAGCATTCCTTGAACCATGAGCCAAATTAATGCTTCCTTCTTTAAGTTGCTTTTGCCAAGGATTTCATCACAGCAAAGAGGAAGGCACCTGATAAACACACGGACAGTGGCATGAATTCACCGCCATGTGGTCTTGATGTCTTAGTTTTGGTGTGTGTGATGCGTAGACACACAGGCATGGGGAGGCCAGAGGTCAATGCTTGGTTTTCTTATGTTCTCTGCATTTATTTCTCAGACAAGACCATCAGTTCTGGCCAGTGAGCCCCAGGGATGTAAACAGAGAATGCACTTCCGCTTCCTGGCTGCTCGGACCCAGATCACACAGAAACTGTATTAATTATAACACTGTTTGGCCAACAACTCAGGTGTATTCTAACTAGCTCTTATATCTTAAATTAACCCATTTCTATCCATCTGTGTATCACCACAAGGCTTTGGTTTACTGGTAAGGTTCTGGCTGGCATCTTTCTTCAGCCACTACAAGGCGTCTGCCTGACTCTGCCTTCTTTCTCCCTGCATTCAGTTTAGTTTTCCCACCTAGTTTTCTGCCCTGTTGTAACATGAAAAGGCCGGGCCTGCTTGTTTGTGTTTCTGTCCTGCCTGGCCCCCCAGCTGTTTAGTCCCAGAGAAAATCACAAACAGGACTTCGTAAGTTATAAAGCTGATTGGCCCATTAGGTCAGGCTACTTATTAGCTAACTCTCACATTTTGATTAACCCATTGTTCTGATCTATTTTAGCCATGTGGCTCAGTACCTTTTTTCAGCGGCAGATCACATCCTGCTGCTTTGGTGATCTGGGCAGGAGTGGGAGGAATCAGCTTCCTCCTTCCCAGAATTCTCCTGCTCTCCTTGCATCATTTCCACTTCCTGTCTGTTTTTCCCGCCTACACCTCCTGCCTGGCCAATCAGCATTTATTTAAAACATGATTGACAGAATACAGACAATTTTCCCGCACCACCCTGTCATAGGCCAAAGCAGCTTCTTTATTAACCACTGGTAATAAAACATATTCACACCATAGAAAGCGGAATCCCACTACACAGGGTCCCTCCTGCCTCGGCCTCTCAGTGCTAGCGTTACAGGTGTGTGTTGCTGCCCCTGGCTTTTTTTGTGTGGTTTCTGGAGGATTGGACTTGGGTCCTCATGCTCTTGTAGTTACCACTTTACTAGACCCAGGGAAGATCTCCCTGGTCCCACACTTCTTCCCGTGTGTGTGTGTGTGTGTGTGTGTGCGTGCACATGTGTGCACCTGTGTGAATGCATTTATGTGTAGCATATGCCTGAAGGATCCAGCAGAGATCTGAAAAGGTCATTGGATTCTTTGGACGTGGTATTATAGACAGTTGTGATCCCACACGGGTTCTGGGAGCCGAACTCCAGTCCTCTGCAAAAGTACCAAGTGTTCTTAGCTTCTGAGCCATCTCTCCCGGCTTTCCAGGCCCCAGTTTCTCTTGTAAACACTTATTTGGGCAAGTCTGTGAGCAAGGCAAGAAAGTTACCATCACATTTCAGAAAGAGGTTTTGTTTTGGAATTTAGATAGTTAAAAGGCAGAACCCTTGAGTTTAATCATGGAGAGCAAAGGGGCCATGTTCCCCCAGAGGGCAATGCTTCCAAACAGTATGAGAGACCACAAAGAAACAAAAATGTGGCCCACCTTCTCGCCCACATCTCCAACATTTATCAAAAAGATATCCCAAGGACAATCTCAAACACTCTTTGGATTCTTTTATTGACAGTCTGGGTACCACCGTGGACAAGGCCTTCAGATCTTTCTTAATGTGTTTCGCAGAAAAAGGCAGATTGCTCTGCAGAGGTTAGGTTTCCATTCTTCTGACACCCACTTCTGTCCTGCGATTCATGCTCACACAACACAGGCTGTGACTCATGCTCACACACTGTGGATGTTTTCCCTTTAAGCTATTTTCAGAATCACTATTCTATTCTGAAGAAAACATAGGCCATCACTAGAAAGAAAAAAGGAGCATGCTGGAGAGCCAGCGAGCTCCAGGGAGTCTGGGTAGCAAGCAGGACAGGAGACATTGGCCTGGCTTTCAAAGCCATTACAGCACACAGGTGTGGGAGGATGCGGCGGGAAGAGCGATGCTGCAAACAAAACAGTGAGGGTGACATAAAAACCCTGAGTGCTCAGGACAGTGGCTTTGCCACTCTAAGTGAGTATGTACACTCCTTCAGGACCTGGCTGGGGTGGAGACTAGGCCTCCGGGATGCAAGCGTGGACTTGGGTCTGCTGATCTTTCCTCACTTTCCAAGATTCCAACACCATTATTTCCATGTGACCTCGGCTTCTGGACTCAGGTCTGGCAGGCCTACAGTGTGTAGGAGTGGAAGGATTTTCTAATAGCTGATATTAAATGGGGTCATTCATGTTGTTATGACCCCGCTCACACCACAGTCTTGTTCCAGCATTGCGTCTCAGAAGAGGGGGAGGGCAGAACACTCCTGGGGAGAGTTCTGGATGAGGCTGGGTAAGGCTGCTTGGAGTCGGGGAGCGGATGTTCTTGGTATACGACCTGGAAAATTCTGAGGTCACTGCCTCTTCTCCCACCAGCAAGGGTTTCTGTTGGTTACACCTTCATATTGGTGTCAGAAGATCCAGGTCTCTTAAGTCCCAAGGGACCTCAGGTGCCAACGAGACCCTCAGCTAGCAGCTCAGCCTCCTGAGAAGCCAGAATATCAAGTGAGAAGGAAAGGCAGAGACTATGCCTCACCCCTGCACACATGGTGCGGTAGAAAATTCGGCTCACAGTTTCTAGTGCTAATGTTTTTATGTATTGTGCGTGCCTCAAAAATAAAACAAAACAGGAAAAAGTAAAATTTCAAAAAATTAACATTCAAATGTGTTGCATATTAACCTGAAGAATATTCTAGTGTGTGTTTATTGTCCTGCACAAAAGGCCCTGCCTGGGGCTTAGCAGCTGGGGAGGGAGTAGGTACACAGAGGTCTCTCCCCTTCTGATGGAGGGGTCAGGCACGCTTTCACTTAGAGGACCTAGAAATGCCCCTTCTGTAAATGTTCCATAAATATAAACCCGACCTGCACTGCTGTTGGCGTTGGAATAGCATCATGGGATTGTTTCTAAGAATATCCCCTTTATAGGCACTTTCTCTATTGAGTTTACGCTGAAGCCAAATGAATGGGCTAAGCTTCCAGGTGGCAATATGAATACTTCAAAGCAAATTGCGGACTTTGTAATATTTTCAGGAGGAAAAAAATCATTTCTTTCAAAGGTTGCAGGCAACTGAAGGGATGGCAGTGAGCTCAGCTTCGACGCCCTCCCTGTGATTTAAACAGCCGGTGCTCAAATTAGCTTTCCCAGTTCCTCACTTGGTTGATGAGCTGATTTGTATGCTGCGGACCTGTTTCATCAGCACCACTTACAAAGATAGGATTCTTGGGGATAAACTAGTAGTTTTGACTATTGCTGGGGAGGGCCCTCTGGGAGGAGGTGATTGCTAAATAATAGCACTGCTCCTTAAATCTTGAGTGTGCTCGTGAGAATCCACAGCAGTCTAACATGATCAGAACGTGGCAACAGCCTCGGAAAGCTGTTGGCTTCGACCGTGGCTTCTACATGAAGTTAGTGAAAGTGGAAGCAGAAAGTTAAACCTGGAAAACCTCTACCCTGTGATGATCTAGCTGGATTCGGGCTGGGCTGAGAGTCCAAAACAAGGGGCTGTGCTCTCTTCCCAGCTCTGATATTTGCATAAGCCAGAAGCCTGAAAGTGCCTCTTGCAGGCGCTGCTGGTTTCCGTGGGTGCCGTGGAAAGGCTCTAGTGGCCGCATCTGTAATTTGCAGCCTGTGTTTGTGCGTGTGTATGTATGTGCTTATATGCATAGAGGAGACGAAATGGCTAAGAGGGTAGGAGTCGACATCTTTCCCATGAGAAGCTGAGGCCCGGCCAATGCCTGGGTGACATCCTTCTACACGTCAAACCAGTGATCACCCATGCAGGCTCGGTTCCACTCACAGCTGCAGTTCCAGCACCACTCCAGCCTGCACTGCGGCTGCGGACACTTCATGTGCATGCAGCCTCCTGTGGAGACAAAGAATACAGATGCTGTGGGTTTGCAGCAAACGCTGGGAGAGCCTTTGCACCCATGCCCACGTGCCATCCCAGAAATTACCCTTGTGATGAACAATTCCAAGCAACAAGGGCAGAAAGACTCTGAACTGGGGGTTTAATCAGGCATCATAGGGGGCAGCCCCCAGAGAGGTGGATGAGATGATGACCCGGAAGTGGGGCTCTCTGTCTTTAGAACCAATCCCGTTCATCCCGTTCGCACCTGAGTTCTCCTTCTCTCGTGTGCTTAGATACAAACGGTTCATGTTCCACAGACTGTAGATTCTTCATTTAAAGAATGCAGTCATATTAAACACTTGACTTTTAAATATGTATTAAATACTTAATAATTTAATATATGATACACCGGGGTGCGTATTTTTCATATTTATGTGGTGTTACCTGGTTCAGCAAAATGTATAAGCAGGAACTGCGACAGTGTATTACTTTTAATAGAGAGTGTGTTCCTTAATGGTATTTAAATTTCCATTTAAGGTAAGAAGCAAAGTAAGGACGTTGCCATCCTGGGACTGGTGCCTGGCTGGTAGAGTGCTTGCCTAGCGTGCACGGAGCCCTGGGCTCAATCCCCAGCTCTGCAAACACCAGGACTCACATGTGGTCCCCCAAACTCAGGAGGTAGAGGGAGGAGGATCAGTGTGTTCCAGGTCATCCTGGCTTCCATGAAACCTTGTCAAGGGTCCTGCATAGCCTATGTTACATCTTGACAGCGTTGAGGCTGGAGCATGGCTTTGCTGGAGAACTTTCTCAAGGTGAAGCAGCTCTGCCAAGTGGCATTGCTGAGCGCCCAGTGTTCCTGGAACAGGGGCTCCCATGTCCTCAGGGAGCCCCTTATAGAGGGCTCTACTTTGGGATCACCACCCCTGCCCTTCAGTTGGTTCCTTCTGGGCTCAGGCCCCAAATCTTCCAGGAGATGCAGGGGCACTAGAGAGAACTGTCTGAGATCCAGGCAAAGCAATCTCTTTGCTCATATATTATTCAACTCTAGTTGGGCTTTGTTACCAGTTGCCTTGTTAAGCTTACCAAAACACCCAAGGGTTGCCTCATACTGACTAACTTTTGTTAACAGAAATCGTGCATGACAGCTAACTGTACTAAAATATTTTTGTGTCCGTAGGCATTTGTCTTGGGGTAACACATTTAAAATTTTCCACTTGGTTATGATTTGTTTGAAGCATTATAAACGATCACAGATGTATGAAAAATAAAGTAGAAACCTTAAAAAGCTTTAAAAAATACTTGTCATCAAAGACAGGGCCATTTTTAGCACATGTTAACAGCCGTGTCCTAGGATAATACAACAGCAGAGTGTGTTCTGAAATGTCATTTAAGTCTCTCTAAAATGTCATATAGGATATTGAGCAAAAAGCTAAAATTGATGAACTTAAAGTTATGCTATGCAAGAATTTTTTTCTTGTTTTTCTTTCAACCCTTACACATTCAAAACACTATAGCTCGCCTGTAGCATGTGGTGCCACTGTGGGGAGGAAGGAGGGAAGTGGGGAGAGAGGGTAACAGCAGGAGGCTCTTCCCTTCCTGGCAGTTAACATGGCTGGTTCCCGCTAGACCCTGCAATGTGGAGGGGCACTTGGGACCGCGACAGTATGGTCAACAATGTATAATGGCGGGCCCATGGGACAGCAAGCTGGAAACTCCTGTTGCCTACTGATGTCTGTGTTTGTGTTACACCCCCATATGGGGTTGCTAGCCTACTGTGCTTCTGGTGACAGGAAGGAAGAAATGGCAGAAGGGGGCTTTGTGGAAGGAGGAACGGTCCTAAGGGGAAAGGAGAGGAAATAGGGTAATGGGGAAGGGGGAGGGAAGAGACTAAATAATAGGTTTTCTCTTGTGTGTGTATTTATATATGTGTGTGTATATATATACATATATATGTATATATATGTAATATATACGTATATGACATGAAGGCAGAAAGGGGATTATCAGAGAAGGGTTAGGGACCAGTGGGAAAGGGAGGAGTGGGGGAAAGAGGTATGGGAGCAAACACAAACAAGGTCCATACATGTGCAAAGATGTCAGTGGCCTGAGAGATGGCTCAGTGAGGAGCAGTACCAGCTGCTCTTCTAGTGACCTGGGTTCAATCCCCACCACACATGTGGCAGGTCACAACCATTTGTAACTCTAGTTCTAGGGGATTGAATACCCTCCATGGGCACCATGCATGCCCATGGTACACATACATACCTGCAGGCAAAGCATCCATATGCATAAAAATATCTTAAAAACATCAGAATATAGCCTATTCTTTCGTGTGCTAACTAAAAAATGAGGGGGAAAGAGTAGACTGTATACAGCTGTGCTCAACCTGTGCCATTTGATGATGGTAGACTGTATACAGCTGTGCTCAACCTGTGCCGTTTGATGATGGTAGACTGTATACAGCTGTGCTCAAC